AAGTACCACGTTACAAAAGGATACCTAGGGAAACTTACCTCGCTTAATATTTAATGACTTTTTCCTTCAGTTCCCAGAAAATATAAAATTTACCTCGCTTAATATTTAATGACTTTTTCGTTCAGTTCCCAGAGAATATAAAATTTACCTTGCGTAATATTTAATGACTTTTTCCTTCAGTTCCCAGAAAATATAAAATTTACCTCGCTTAATATTTAATGACTTTTTCGTTCAGTTCCCAGAGAATATAAAATTTACCTTGCGTAATATTTAATGACTTTTTCCTTCAGTTCCCAGAAAATATAAAATTTACCTCGCTTAATATTTAATGACTTTTTCGTTCAGTTCCCAGAGAATATAAAATTTACCTCGCTTAATATTTAATGACTTTTTCCTTCAGTTCCCAGAGAATATAAAATTTACCTCGCTTAATATTTAATGACTTTTTCGTTCAGTTCCCAGAGAATATAAAATTTACCTCACTTAATATTTAATGACTTTTTCCTTCAGTTCCCAGAGAATATAAAATTTACCTCGCTTAATATTTAATGACTTTTTCCTTCAGTTCCCAGAGAATATAAAATTTACCCTCAGCTTAATATTTAATGACTTTTTCCTTCAGTTCCCAGAGAATATAAAATTTACCCCGCTTAATATTTAATGACTTTTTCCTTCAGTTCCCAGAGAATATAAAATTTACCCTCGCTTAATATTTAATGACTTTTCCTTCAGTTCCAAGAGAATATAAAATTTACCTTGCGTAATATTTAATGACTTTTTCCTTCAGTTCCCAGAGAATATAAAATTTACCTTGCGTAATATTTAATGACTTTTTCCTTCAGTTCCCAGAGAATATAAAATTTACCTCGCTTAATATTTAATGACTTTTTCGTTCAGTTCCCAGAGAATATAAAATTTACCTTATATGTAATATTTAATGACTTTTTCCTTCAGTTCCCAGAGAATATAAAATTTACCTCGCTTAATATTTAATGACTTTTTCCTTCAGTTCCCAGAGAATATAAAATTTACCTCGCTTAATATTTAATGACTTTTTCGTTCAGTTCCCAGAGAATATAAAATTTACCTCGCTTAATATTTAATGACCTTTTCCTTCAGTTCCAAGAGAATATAAAATTTACCTCGCTTAATATTTGATGACTTTTTCGTTTTCAGTTCCCAGAGAATATAAAATTTACCTCAGCTTAATATTTAATGACTTTTCCTTCAGTTCCCAGAGAATATAAAATTTACCGTCATGTAATATTTAATGACTTTTCCTTCAGTTCCCAGAAAATATAAATTTTACCCTCGCTTAATATTTAATGACTTTTTCCTTCAGTTCCCAGAGAATATAAAATTTACCTCGCTTAATATTTGATGACTTTTTCGTTCAGTTCCCAGAGAATATAAAATTTACCTCGCTTAATATTTGATGACTTTTTCGTTCAGTTCCCAGAGAATATAAAATTTACCTCGCTTAATATTTAATGACTTTTTCCTTCAGTTCCAAGAGAATATAAAATTTACCTCGCTTAATATTTGATGACTTTTTCGTTCAGTTCCCAGAGAATATAAAATTTACCTCGCTTAATATTTAATGACTTTTTCCTTCAGTTCCCAGAGAATATAAAATTTACCTCGCTTAATATTTGATGACATTTTCCTTAGTTCCCAGAGAATATAACCAATTCTGCCCAAGTCAGAAGAAAGAGAGAGTTCCTTAGCTGATTTTACTGCATATGAGGAAATTGGGAAGGAGGGTTGGGATTGTCTCTCCCTTACATGCACGCATGCACGCACGACACACCAACCTTCTGACGTATATCAAAGGCTTGGTTATAAATATCCATGAGTTTGCGTTACACCTGATACTTGACTCAATAAGAGCATTTAACAAAATATTAATTTCAAGCTCCTGAGACAGAGTTTCTAAGCCTGTGGAGAGAGATATGGACATGGTATTCCAAACTGAAGGTCCACAGTCATTTTATTGTTTCAAACTTCAGTATACATACTGTAGTCAAGGAGATGCCCCCAACTCAACAAGTCAGGTAAAAATGATGGGTTCAACAGAAGGAGAAGAACATTATACCCTACAGTTGATGGAGAGTTACCCATAAAATAAGATCACATACTCAAGGTAAAAATAGCCAACATGAGTGGGACCTGGAGCCAACATACTTCCTCGGAACATGATGAACAACTTTGTGTTTAGAAAATGTCTTTTCACAACTTCTCATGAAGACAATCTCTGTAGTGAGTCACAATATGAAACATGAAAAACAGATTGTGTATCACTAACAACCAGATTTGCTGACTGAACTTAAACCGTGATTTTCAGATCGGAAGCCAACCTAATATACTATGAAGAAGAACCAGGCAAAAGTAGAAAAATTGGAAATATCTAACAGAGTTCTGGTAATATCTATACTAGGGCTGGGACGATTCACCGATACATCATGATACATATAAGTTTGATACAACTATTGTATCGTCGACTGGTGTATCGATACAAAACAATACACGACATTTTTTCAAAACAGTATTATCTTAAACATGTTAAAGTACTTAATTAGAGAAAAATACGCAAGAATGATAGAGTTACTTGTTTGGTCATTACAATAGTGTTATTGTTATACACAAATACCTTGAAATAAATTAATACTGTGTCATTCTTTCAAGGTGTATGTATCATGATACGTATCGTATCGCAAGTAAAATATCGCTATACGTATCGTATCGTGACATAGTGTATCGCCCCAGCCCTAATCTATACAAAATGAACGAATGAATATGCATGTCAAGAAACACCTGGTTCCAGTAAAATCGATTTCTTTTAACGTCACATGCAACATAAAACACAACTTTGCAGATTCTGATACCTTTCGGTATGGGCTTACAGTAACAAATGATCAAAAGTGCAAAGTCAACTTATAAAGTTGAAAAATAACGCAATGAAAAAACCCACGAAATCGGAGTTTTCACTAAATTCACTTACTAACTTCATCCCAGCTGGGGTGAAAAGTGTTTTCAACAGGTGTGCTGCATTGCGCACATAGCGCATGCGCAGTGAATAGGTTGGTGCGGCTTGAACTGGGATGCCAAAACACACAAAGAGCCCTGAGCGTATCGGCAAATGAAACAGCCAATGAAAGACTTCATTACACTTGAGAGCACATCCACCTGCTCTGACTGGGTTCGGCATCCCGGGAGCTTCGTTTCGAGGGTAGTAAACCCAAGTACAAAATACTGCACTTTTGATTTGCGATTGTACGCTTATAATTTTGTTTATTTGTTTTTTTCATAATGAGCAATGTATATTATATGTCATGAATAAGTGATAATTGTGTTTTACTTATGTTTGCTTTTTTGGTTGCATGTGACCTTTAAACCAAGACCTGCATTAATCTACATGACGCCAATAAAAAGGGTCAGTCAGCTATTGAATCATACCTCATCCAGTGTAGCGAGTGAAAGGGTCTTAAATGGAAGTTACATGAGCAAATACATTCACCAGCAAATCAGTTTATCCTGTCCTCAGTGCTTGTGTACGAGGAATATATCTACTGAAACCTTCAGAAAACAGTGAAATGATCCTTTATCGCTGACTTTTTATAAAAGGCAGGATATCGGGTAATAACCCAGTTACCATGGTTACACAGTTTTCATCCATTGTTGTCATGTGGTGGACATACTTCATGGATTGCACGCCATAACATATGTGCAGTACTCCTCATTCATAATTTGATTTAGCTTTACGAAACCAAAATATTTTGAAAATATAAATGCTTTCATAAACTGGCATAGACGTAATTCACTTTCTACTGAAAATGTTTATGAATACACAATACCATTTAAAAAGTGGTTAAATGTAACATATGCCATATTTGGGATTACACTTTCTCAGTAAAGTAGAGATTCTAGTACTTTTCTTGGGTTGAGCCCCATCCAAGATTCGAACCCACACCCTCAGAGTTAGACACCTAATCGCCAGCACACAAAGTCAGCCGCCTAGCCCGCTTAGCCAGCGCAGCTTCCATAATGTTGAAAATGTTCAGTAAACAAATAATGAAAATATTTAAAATGGCTTCAGTGAGATGAAGAAATATTGATCACTGTAAGCATAAATGTATACCTTGGACACCAGCAACTTTCTTGCCATGTTTTTTTTCAGGGCATAATTTCAACAATCTGTATTTATCCCCAACACTTCAAATGTCTCGGGTCGGAGGCAGATTCCTAAATAGAAGCTGGGTTAAGTTAACTAAACCAACCCGTCTCTCCCACAGTGCCAGTTTTCTTTTGGATGTTTTTGGATAAAATTTCTATATTGTCCCAATGTATGTTGTGATTATGACAGTTGATGATTATGTGGTCTGAGATGGCTGATTTTCATTTGATTTTGTGGTAGATGTTAATTGTTCTTTGATTCTGATGTTCATATGACTTAACCAAAAGAAAACAGAAATTAACAGAGACCAAGGATACCTCATCCCATCTGCATACAATGATAAAAACAACAGAGCAGAGCACTCCAGCCATCATTGCTAACCAATCCTATCAGCCATCCATGTTTTGTTCCTCCTCATGAACAGTTGGCTTCCTCCCATCATCATTGCACTATTACCAATATCCATTGTTGTTTTTGTTGTTAATCTCTTTGATGCATGTTGTTTTACATTTTCTTTATTGTACTGTGATGCGACGTTTCGAGGTCTTGATTGACAAAGGTAAGAACCTCGAAACGTCGCATCACAGTATAAAAGAAAGATTGGGATCCATAAAGTACCATACCATGCTTATTATTCATCAACTTCTAAAATGCTAATCAAACAGATAATACTTTACAGCTGCCCAGCACTTCATGACTACAGTACCTAAATACTATATTTTTTGCACATGAAAAGCGATAAAACCTGTCAGTGTCATGTGATCGAAAACAGAACACAATTTAAAGGAAATGCATAGATTGTAGGAAAATGTTGATGGCTACATACTGTTTTGGGTCTTTTCAAAATCGCTGCTTTTTTACAAGATGAACACTTTACAGGCATGTCGAGAACACTTGTCTTGGCCGACCGTAAGTCAATTCACCCACAGCATGTGCAACTCTTGTGTAACCTCGTGCGCTTGTTTTCTTCCGGTTTAAAGAAAACACGGCATCATTGGCTACACGTTACTTAGTCAGCCAATGGGCGCGCTTGATACAAAGTGCAAACGCTATTTCTTTGAGGAGATTTCTACAAGGGAGGTCACTCTTAAGTTTTCCTCTTGCATGAGATCCTGAGTTGAGTTGAGTTCCTGACAACACGAATTACAAAAAGCTCGAATCAAGAACTGAACCTGTTTCTTCTTCTCTTGCAAGAAGCTGTTGCTATCTAATTGTGGTGTTACTTGAAGTTTGGAGTGAACTTCATGTGTCATCTGAAGAAAGGGGGAAAAATATATCGACTTTCTATCGTGGTCGTGGACTGAAAACATCTTTTTCTTTCAAGCAGTTTATTCACAGCACAGATAAATTTTCCAAATACATTCGTTTCAGATATCATTTTGGAAGATGAATTTTCAGATACACCGAGTTAACTTGTTTTATCATTAGCACTGAAATTACTATATCACATGATTCGACTCTCCATGTGTTAGGGAGTGGGGTAGCCTAATGGTTAGAGAAGAGGTAATTCCCATTGTACACTCTCCATTATTCAACATTACATACATTCACTCACACACACACAGCCATAAATTTTGAACGGTGTCTTAATCAATATGCTGTGGTTGAACAGATGCATTTCAAGAGCAATTATATATACTGAATGTGTTTTCGGTTTGTAAGCTTTTGGTTGTAACAACATGTCAGGATCACCTCAACTTATCCATCATTTCCAGCTCATTGCATATCATTCCATCAGGTCATTGATATGGTTTAGAATACAAACAATATCTTCAAATCATATACGTGCTTTTATTTTTTGTACTGTTTGATATGTGCCATGTTTTTAGTGTTACATGCTAGTTTTAATTCTAACTGTGGTACTCGAGTTGTTTTGCTGTCCATTGGCAACAGGTTTTATGATATACTTATCATTGTCAAATTTGTTCTTGTCACAATATGGCAGAAATATTGCCGATGCGATGTTAAGTATTAACTCACTCATTCACTCACTCAAATCATACTCATTGGGTATGGATTCACTTTTGGGGTATGAGTCATCCAGTTGTTTATGTACGAGTGGATACAAGTTGTCCAACATTTGTGTTCCGGTTCAGTTCTACTAATTTTCTACTTCCCATTTCAATGATTGGTGTAGCTACCCCCCTTGTATAAAAACAGCAAGTGTTTATAATCTGAAATCGGCACCGAAAATCTGATAAAACATTTTGTCTTTCAAAGTCTTTGTTGTTTGTTCTTCTTTCAGTCACCTGTTAGTTTAGTAGGTGCATGTTTGGTGAAGTTTCAGGTTAACCCGTCATTGGTGGTTTACTTGATGTTGTTGCATTACTTATTTAGGATAAATGGACTTGACCATACTGATCAAACTGTTCTGCTGCTACAGTGTGTTATGTTAACAACGTGGTAGGGATATCTTTGTGTTGTTGACGTTTTTAGTCCAGTTTTGTATATCTGTTAGGGTTAAACTCTATTCCAGGGATTCTGTTATTATAAGCATGTGTTCGAGTCATCAGTTTGATATAGTTTGTAAATATGTCTACATGTTTTGTACGACTTAACCAATATGGATACTGTTTCATCTGTTTGTGTACCTGTCCTCCGATATGTGTACGGTATTAGCATCTAATTGGTCAGCCACATTTCATGAAGGTGTATGAAGTATATGCCTATAACTCCACACTCCGATAGCTGAGTCATGTGAGGGGGATTCATGATCACCAGAATATTTCATCGGTGGAGATATACCGGGTACTTTAACTTCCATGTACAAGCAGCTGAAATTCTAACTAATTGTAGTAAATGTCTGTGAACGATTCATTATAGTATCTCAGTATTGAAGAATCAGTTGGTTACGGCAGACATATAATAGTTGTACTCTGTCCTAAAAGGCTCCAGAAGTTGCTTATTAAAGTGACATAGAAGTCAGAGGTTAATGTTAAAAACAACCCAGAATGAAGGAAAGAACTCTAATAAGAAATACTCCACCAGTATTGTCCTTATGTGTACATAGCATACATATGTTGTGAATGCCTGTAGTATATCACATGTTTTTCACTTTTGGATTGACACCAGGAGCAAATACAGCATCTCCTTCCTCATTAAGGACCGGTGAAGATCCGGGGTAGAATAGGTCTTCAGCAACCCATGCTTGCCACAAAAGGCGACTATGTTTGTCGTAAGAGGCGACTAACAGGATCGAGTGGTCAGGCTGGCTGACTTGGTTGACACATGTCATCGGTTCCCAATTGCGCAGATTGATGCTCATGCTGTTGATCACTGGATTGTCTGGTCCAGACTCGATTATTTACAGACCGCTGCTATATAGCTGGAATATTGCTGAGTGCGGCATAAAACAAAACTCACTCACTCACTCCTCAGTAAGACACCACCCACAAGTGCATCATATATCCTGACAATCATATTGGAATTTCATTTGCAGAAACATGTTTGAGTAACACTCTGAACGACCTACAATAGGTTCACTACAAACAGAATTGTATTGGCATGGAAAGTCCAAACTTCAGGAGGGTGATTGTGATGAATGTAATACTGGCAGACAACCAATGTCTTTATCTGGCAATGGTTTATGGTAGTGGTGCAGCAACTTTCTACTGGATCCTGTAGAGTTGACTCAGGTTGGGTCTATGACTTCTACCAACATTCAGATGTTTTAGGAAATAAGCTGAAGGGTTGGCTAAGTGCTTCACAACCAACACATCACGCAGAAAACGTATTGTGTGATTGTTCACCATAACCAACACTTCATGCAGTACAGATGCTGTGTGATTGTTTCCCATAGCCAACACTTCATGCAGTACAGGGGTTGTGTAGTCGCCTATGATAATTTAGGAGGGTTTAAGACCCTATGTATGCCTTTTCCATCTCGCAAGACCGTTGTTGTTTTAAGTCTGGACATCCAGCCATTTCGGAAGCTTGACCGTTGTCACTGTAAGGAGAAGATTATCATCAGTGCCTTAATGCTATGACCATCATTCTATTTCCTACTGCCCCTGTAGTGTACTGCCCCTCTACTGTGTGCAGCTAGGCTATTGTGTACTACCCCTCTAGTGTGTACAGCTAGGCTATTGTGTATTGCCATTGTAATAACTTCGCAGTAATGTGTATTGGTTTGTTAATGTAATCATACAATTGTTAATTGTCAAAGGTATATTTTCTGGCTCCCTGAGTAAACGTATTTTCATGTATTTGACGTGGACATCGACACGTAATAATACATGAGGACAGTTTCCTGGATGATATACGACTGCTTCAGTTACCTGTGTCAACAGCTGGGTGTTGTCAACTAGCAGGAGAAAGGGGAATTTGAACTGACTGATATTTAGGAGAACAGTAAAATCTCATTCCATCCATTGTTAAAAAACTTTTCAGGCCTGTGTTGAAGTAACGAGAGTCAATAGATAGAGATACGATGAGGCCACACGCTAACATTAGGTGTGCCTACATATAGACGATACCTCTGTACTTATAGCTATGCGTTAATAATAATTATGATTATATGGACCTGAAGTATTTTGTTGTTTTTCAATATTATAAATTAGCTAATCTACTAACTGTAAACAATCTAGCAGTTTCCCGGGTAGGGAACATTGACACTATTTATATCGGCAAAGTTCCATCTCAAAATCACAAGTGATTTACAATTAGATACCATAACTTTAATATATTTTATGAGTAATCATCGCAATTTTTTGTGAAAATAGTTCACATGATATTTTCACTTGTATACTGCGACAAGCGCACATGTGTGAGCGCTGTTCCTCCACGGTGTTCTCCGTGTGGGATACTAAAATTCAGCAGTGTTTCTTCTGTGGTCAGTCCGCTTAACACAAGCGATGTGTTGTTCCTGCCAGCGGGGACAGGTCGTGTTTTCTGAAAAATACATCAATACTTTGTGTTTAGAATATTAGTAGACGGTAATGCTTTTCAGGCCAAGCAACGCGTTTTACGGCAGTTTATCTGCAGAATTATATTTTTAAATCAAGCCTGAGGGTAAAATGACCCCTAACACGACAGGAATTTAGTAACGATAACTCTGATTCTTTGAACTAAGTATTTGTTTTTGGAGCTGATACTCCTGAAATCTACGCGCCAATTGTTGTTGAGAACGGACAACTCTGCGTGTAAATTAGTAAAAGTTCTGATGACGATACAGGTCCGAGAGAGCAGGTCCACTGATAATCATAACATTTTCATTACTTGCCTGGATCTAACACACTTCTTCTGCTTCATATTCTGTTCTCAGAACATGTATATATTGAGAATATTTCATTGTCTTAGAAATAAAAATTGTCATGGAAATTATGAACATCTAATAAACGGGTGGGAATGTCGTTTATTCTACATTTCTGCTTCAAATTTTATATAATTTTTTATATTTGTATTTCGTTTAGCTGATGAGAGTTAGCTAATAACCGGATAAAATTATAATACGAAACTGCAGTAAAAATCACCGAAAATATATTTTAGAACGTAGAAATAGGATAACAATATTTAGCAACAGAAGTGGTTACATGTATGTGTATCTGCTGTGTTACCCCGGGGCTAGCAGGACGCAACATGGCGGGGAGTAGAACTCTGTTACTAACGATATTAATTGCGTTCATTTGACAATATTCGTCTTGGTCCTCTACACCGAGATCACGGCTACCCCACTGAGCTCGGACAAGTGAATGTGGACAATTGTACATTGTGTGTGCATCTGTGTACACTCATCTTGAAGTGAGACGGGTTGAGGTCATTAATGATATGTAAGACGGGACCACTCCTACGTAGTTTCTTATTGTCATCATTCTTTTTGACAACATCGGAAAACAAGTTACTCTTGTACAGTTGTGACGATAATTGTGAAGCCTGCATATTTGTATCTCCAGGAATCAACAGGAAACCGCCTAGCCCAAGTGTCCGGATGTTTTCTGTACATTTTATAAATATGAATGGATGTCGATAATGTGGTTTTTATTACCATTCTCCGACCAAACAAAATATGCAACCTACAACATTAAATAGAAATTATTCCTGCCAGCAGAAAATTAAATATATGTACATGCAAATAGTGGACGCCAATCTGAATTGTATCGCATTCAACGTATAAATGAAACTTAATTTGACCTCACTTGAAAAAAGTTTGCAAAACTTTCCTCTTACTTGAACATTCCCACTTCTACCGACAGCTTCCCATTGAAAAACAGTGTTAACACAATTAAATATTCATTACAGTTGTGATACATACGTTTTGTTGAGGCACCGTCATAGGGTACGACACGCTTCGCCATCAGCTGGAGATTCTTGACATAGGTGCAGGGAGTCAAGCGTCGGTGGTAGGTCAGGTGTGATGAAGAGTGATATGTTTCGATATTAGCAAATATTACTGAATGTTTGACATACTGACAATTTCGTTAAGACCATTGTCCAATGTTTCTTACACTTCGTTTGGTTGTATCTTGTGTGGTGATTATTTCCACGTAGGATGTTTCAAGACATCCATGTGTTTTGAAATGTAGAAACAATAATATTTTTTACCACGTAAATTACAAAGAGAAAATATCGAAGGAAAACTCAAATAGAAAACTAAATATAATCATTCTTAAATCTAAAAATATTTTCTAACATCTTGGAAATTGATTTAAGCGAGAATCTTGTTCCCGCTCCTCCCTGGATGAGTTGAAGCTATTATCTGTCCACGCGACGCGGCTGCCCCACCCCAGCCAGAAGCTGCCCATACTGTCGCCGAGAACTTCCATATTCTTTGCACGTGTATTCCAGGCCCGGGGGTGGGGTGCGCGTGCTAGGGGTAGAGTCAACACATGTCACTAGAAGATGCAGCTTGTTACCCATCCCTCATAGAATCCTGGAAACTTCTGATATTTTCATCCAGAAAATTTGATAAAGGTAACGAAAAACATTTTTTGGGAAAATAAGTTTGAGAACATTGTCCCAAGTTGGATACTTTTCGTGTAGATAGGGTAGGGGTCAAATTACAACGCCGGTTGTGGTCTCCAGGGGGAAAATTTGAATGTTGCTGTGAAGGGGCGGATACTCGTTAGCTGGCGTCGTCAGGACATTGTGTGTGTGGCTGGGGGCAGTCCCGCCAAGGCAGCTGTTAGCGGGACGGGTGTGATTGGAGCAGATCCCCAGGGGGTTGAGATGCGACTCAAAGACGAGCCCCGCCCCCTCTTTTCACTGGTGAAGTAGCAGGCTCTTTGCCCCGGACGATCCTTATATAGGTAGCGAGAAGTGGGAAGGTGAGTCTACTGATCTGAGCCCACAGAGCATCCTTCACCACAAGGTTGTGTCCCCCACTGTCAGCATTGCCTGGGTCACTACGAGGACTTACACTGCCCCCACTGCCTGGGTCACCACAAGTCCTTACACTGCCCCCACTGCCTGGGTCACTACGAGGACTTACACTGTCCCTCTACTACTGGGTCACTACGAGGACTTACACTGTCCCTCTACTACTGGGTCACTACGAGGACTTACACTGTCCCTCTACTACTGGGTCATCACACGGACTTATACTGTCACCTGTCAGCACTGTCTGGACTTTCTGTTGTGTTCGAAGCCTGTGCCACCATGGAGACTAAGGACATGTACCATCAAGACGGTAGTGACAATGAACACATTTCTGTGGACTGTGATTCCGACTACAGCGACGACCCCAGCGAAATGTCAGCTGAACGCTACCTGAAGGGCAAGAGGAAGGGTCAGCTCGCCAGCAAGTGCCTCAGTGAGAATGAGCTGCAGGATCTTCGACTCAAGATCAACAGTCGGGAAAGAAAGCGAATGCATGATCTCAACTCGGCTCTGGATGGGCTGAGGGAAGTGATGCCGTACGCCCATGGTCCGTCCGTGAGGAAACTATCAAAGATCGCCACACTACTTCTAGCTAAGAACTACATCCTGATGCTGAGCAGTTCCCTCGAGGAAATGAAGAAGCTCGTGAGCGATATCTACCAGAGTCACCATCACACACGTGCCGCTACCCCCGCCCCGCACGTGCACACACAGCTCCCCGTCATGCCTCCTCTGCCCCCTCTGCCTCAGACCATCGCCGGCCTGTCGTCGCCGGAACTTTCCCGTGTGTCGACAGTTACAGTCAAAGATCCGTCTCATGCAATAACCTCCTCCCCCTCCCTCGCGCCGCACGACCGCTCCCTGGTGTACGGACGGTGGCCTGCCCCAGCATGCGCGTGCAGTCAATGTTCGGCGGAATCCGTGCGGGCGCCCTTCACAGCCTTCGTTCATAAATACCCAAGTCATCTTTCCGCTGCCAACACGTTCAGGAAATGAACAGGACTGTGTACATGTGTATATAAATGTGTGTATATATTTATGTGAAATAATCTATGCAGTTAGCCGTGAAACAGACTCACGTTCTAAGCCTACCCCAGGGTTCCGTCAGTCGGCTACCTTGTGCCGGACACACCCACCCCGTCACCCCAGCCATATTACAGGTGTGCCGTGATGACAGGGTCTGAACACTGAACTGTCCTTCTGTGAAGCCCGGGTCCACCTCTGTCTCCGTCTACAGTATGTATTGATGATATTTTTGTATGAACTGATTGGCCATATATTGTTGAGTGCTGGTGTAGCTCAATCCACACACTGTGCCTTTGAGCTTTATTGTTTGTGATAAAAGACCAGAATATTTTAAAATGAAATAAATCTAAATCATGTTAAATGATTTTTAAAGAAACCAAAGCTTTTGTCTTGTATAGAGTATTCCCGTGTACATCTCTGTGCATGGAACTTTGATTACGGTTCAATAAAACCCATTCTGATTTTTGGAAAGTGCACGATTGTGCATTTCACATTATGGTTTGATCGAAGAACCTTGTTGGAGAAAATACACTTTAATAAAGCGTCTCGGAAACACACAAACACATTAACAATGATTGACGAGAGTCAAATTGTCAAGGGATGCGTCAGACAGACCATCATCCCAGAACAGATATAGAAAACTGATGACAAATGCGCAAAGTCATATCTGCATAAGAAATCTGACAAATTATGCCAAGGGGTGAATTAACCTCCGTGAGCCCAGCACTCCGGTCCGGTGAGGGTAGCATATTTTACTGTTTTCTGGAAGTACGGGACATATTTCCCCGTGCTATACAATACACTTACAATCCATGTAACAAATGCCGCCTGCACGGTTTACCGTGTACATCTTGCAGTACCACACATTTCACCAGAAACATTGACAGATACAGGATATCATCGCTAAAACAATTTAACTCAACATACTCGTAGGTCATGAAGCCAAGAGTATCACTACCAACAAAGGTTTGTTCATCCAATACATTTGAAATACAAAACCCTAGTACTATTATTACCAGAAATGAAACATTTTGGGGAGTTATATTTTCGATTTAACATAGTGACCAACTGTACCACAGCCATCTCTACATTCATACCAACCTGTCCCGACGGGGATGATGATGATGGTATGAGTAATGTCAATAGATGTATGCTCTTATATAGCACGCGGCCAGGTGTATGTACGGAGTTACGGCAGTTTTATAATTCCTACTTTGAGGGAAAAATAATTACAGTTTGCAAAATCTCGAAATATAATTCATTTGCTGTTAACTGAAATATGTGATTAAGACCGACAGTTAACGCAGAACTCCTAAATAAGTATTTCACACGACTTTGAACAATTCATGGCGGTACTGAAAAAAATGTTCCCACATAATCAATAAGTCAAGAATGCTTTCCTTGTACGACAACGCTACAATATTGTACTACAACGCCACATTATAATACTACAACGCTACAATATCGTACTACTACGCCACATTATAATACTACAACGCTACAATATTGTACTACTACGCCACATTATAATACTACAACGCTACAATATTGTACTACAACGCCACATTATAATACCACAACGCTACAATATTGTACTACAACGCCACATTATAATACTACAACGCTACAATATTGTACTACAACGCCACATTATAATACTACAACGCTACAATATTGTACTACAACGCCACATTATAATACTACAACGCTACAATATTGTACTACAACGCCACATTATAATACTCCAACGCTACAATATTGTACTACAACGCCACATTATAATACTCCAACGCTACAATATTGTACTACAACGCCACATTATAATACTCCAACGCTACAATATTGTACTACAACGCCACATTATAATACTACAACGCTACAACGCTACAATATTGCTGCTGCAGCTAAGTACAAATGAAACTTACAAGTAATCAACATGTCCGTACGTCCTCAAATTGTCATCTTGCAGAGACTTCTGGGGACAGGGGATCGAACGAAAGTCAATCATCAATTTATAGTAGCACGTGAATTGTTGGATTTATGTGAATTTGAAATGAAACGGGATTAGTTAACAAGTTCAAGAGTATTTTAATTGCTATTTTAACAAATATTTATACATACATACGAATGACTTGAGACGAGAAACTTACTAAAACAGAGTACCACTAACCACAATTACTGGTCAATGTCGACTTTGTGACGACGTGGAACATAAATAATTTACAAATCTAAATTCTCAGAAGGTGTGGTAAAAGAATACACTGCAGGTAGAATATCAAAAAGTAGTTTAGTCTTTTCACCTTTGATTCATCAGTATGGGATGTGAATACTGCCTGTAGCTACTCCGTAACAATAACAGCAATGGAAATAATTATAATAATAATCACACTGCGCTGGCGGCTACGCGATGGGTCCAGTAGATTAATGATGGACTTGAATATATTATGTTTCTATGTACTGGAGATGAGAGCTGACTACCGACACTATTCTCAACACTGTTTTGTACGATGCGTGTTACCAATTACAATTCTAAAGTATATTATTGTCCATGTAGTCCCTGAGAAGGACGTCGGTGATGATGGGCGAGAGGTGTGTGCCGGGACGCCGCCGGAGGTTTAGTTTCGTGGATCACTGATCTTGTCATAATGTAATCAGTTGTCGCATAAAATTATCTCCTTTTATTCAAATACATGTCAAAGTGACTTAGAAAACAACATTAAAATAACGTTTGTACTAACAGAAATATTTACGTCAACTTCTTAATGTATTCTCAGACTTATGTCCATGTGTGTTGTGTAGAATTCAATACCAGAATTTTCCACACTTAGCCAAACTTTGGTCCGACTTAGGTACACATACACAGGTGTGTCAGAATCATAGGTACAGGTGCACCACAATCATAAGTACATGTACTTAGTAATCATGGATATGGGTGTAGGAGGTAACACGATCCTGGTGTGTCAGGTTATTGTGAGACAATCAAACGAACCCCACGCGCCCTGGTCACACGCAGAGACTGACCACCACGATGACCACAGGCAAGGTTTTACAATAGTTGTGACATTATGTGTTAACAAATCAGCGACTCCGCAGGTAGACACGCCTGTATCCTCACCTGATCGTACTTCACACAACAGCTCTCATTAAACCTACATGCAGTATGTGTCAGCGATTTTCTTCTAAATAGATTGGATTGTTTCGGCTATATTTTTTCTTGTCACCCTCGTTAAATCACCTCGTCACTTCCGTCCCCGCGGTGGTGCTGGGGGCTGTTACAGACACCAATTAACCGGGTCATTGATCAGTTTACAAATGTATCACGAAATGAATCTACTAAAATATTTATCGAAACTATAAGTCTTACATTTTATGCAAGACAGTTTTCATAACTATATGGCGAATTCAAGAGTTAAAAAACACGAACCAGCAGTGAGATGTTACAAAGAGCTAATGGATGCAGTAATTTGCCGTTTAGCTGCACGAGCCCAACAGTCAAACATGAATAACACTTATAGTAGTTTTTATAATAATGACATATCTGTTAATCAATCTTATTGCATGTACATGATTTCAAGACAAGACGAAGCATTCACGATGGTCTCCACCTTACCCCGCACACTGCCACCCCCTTACCCACCCCCACCACCATGATCAGCGACAGGGTCCACATCAGTATATCCTCTGTGCATGATAATAATTATTTCAATCAATATGAAGGGAAAATGTCAATGTTTTATTTAGTCAGATTTGAATATTTTCACGAATTACACGATTTACACGATTGCCGTAATCCAGGGCTTTTAGCACGCACAGTTTGGCCACATATAAATTGCGAATGGACGCAAACAATTTGAACTGAAAGCCGTACTGGACACACGGAAATGTGACAGAATCCTAAAACTTATTTAACTTATAGACTGGATGTCTTATATCGCTGATATATCGTCTTTAGTGAGAAACACACGGAAACGTGCTGGATGTCCATGTGTGATTGTCCACATCCAGTCAGTACATGCTATCAGATACCTGTATCACAGCATACCAAATGACAAGACATAACAAAACACAGCATTATAATGATGTGTGCCACAGGTCGCCAGCCTGTAAGCGTCCCATTCGTACCCCAAGAATTTATCACCTGGAGTGACAGAGTCCCGTAGTCCCAGATGGATCCCTGGAGATGACAATCTATCGTATATTTCATTTGATTATTCCACCAAGGCGTCCGGTTAAAAAGTCCTAGTTATAAAAGTACCAGTGAAAAAGTCCTAAATTTGCCTAGGTAAAAAATGTCCTCCGGAATTAAATTGACCCCTTTTCATTTTCTAGCAAGAAATTATTTTTTAGCTTTAGGTTTTCCACACATACAACAAATGTAAAGGTCTTATGACATCATGACGTATTGAAATGTTGATATAAACATCATACAATATGACTACAGTTAACAGTATAAGTTATAAGTTACATAATGCATCACATGATGACACGAGGTAGTCTAGGCCTACTGATATTTATGAAGTCGGGTGTTCAGTGCCACGCCGTGTAAAAACTTCTTATTTACAAGAATTCAGATTCTTCAGTGTTTTACTGGTAACTAGTTGTTGGCGTGATGCAATCAATTACAATCAAACTATAATCGGGTGATCAGCAATCACACTGAGACACTTGCAACAGTTTTCACTACAGATCAAAGGTCAGTTTAGATATTTTATCCGTGAGCACATGACGTCGTTTAAAAGATCAAACATCAATTTAAAAATTTAATTCAATTTAGTCATTATATATGATTTCTACATGTTTTTTTTAATCTTTGATGTCAGTCTTGTCAGATTAATAACTAAGTCAGTTTTTAATACAAATGGACTTTTTTACCAAGGATCTGTTACCGGTACTTTTTTACCAACGACTTTTTTACCGGAGACTTTTTTCCTATAATCTTCCACCAACACAGCAATTTATTCGGGGTAACAATTTCATCAGCTATACTGTACACGAATATGTGTCCCAGTAGTTAAGGTGTGCAGCATTTATTCCAGTCTCCGGTGTCGTCCCCGGTGTTGTCCACGGTGTCGTCCCCGGTCTCGTCTCCCGGTGTCGTCCCCGGTGTTGTCCCCGGTGTCGTCGTAGTGAGAAGAAATTATAACAACGCTTCTGAACATAACAAATGTTAACTCCCACTATGTCCAATAACTATCCATAAATGTAATGACACGATCGAGAATCCGCTGAGGAAATTCACAACAAGAGAATAGACGTGAAACAAGTCACGGCATTGAATCTGGTCAGTCACATTTCGGACAATAATTTGAATGTAGCAACTACAGTGGTTCGATAAATTGAATTCATTCAACTAAATATGATTATATATAA